CTCATAATAGTGCAGTCATAATTGCACGAAGCTACCCCATAATGAGGATTTTTTAAAATTCGGAGTAACTTCTCCTTTTTGGCTTCCGAATAAACAATTTCTATTCTGTACAGCTTAAGAGATCCGTATTCTAAGTTTATCTACGCAACTAAGCCAGTTAACATTTCAATTTCGTGTGCGTGGGCGGCATTTTATATTAAGTTCACCAAATTTTCATGGCTGCGCTGTATGAAGTACGTTGTTTTAGCGTCTTAACAACCGACTTTAGGAGGTCAAGTTGTGCAAAAGTTCCCGTGATAGGGAAAGGTACGAAATATATGCTTTCGTTTTGATCGTCCTGCTTCTGTATTTCATGTTTTTTTCCGAGAAAGTTAAGAGCCGATTATGTACGCCGAATAAAGCATTATTTTTTTCCACGTAGATTGCCAAGTCATGTTAATGTCAATTTATTAGATTGTGTTTATTTTCGGACCATATTGAGGGTATGCTTGTTCGTAGAATTTTAGAAATTTGGCAATTACTTATATACGACAGCAATTTCTTCCTAGATATCTAGACTACAGTTACTCTTGTAGATTAGCCTATCATTGTCAATGGGCCTTGATAGCGCAATCATCCCAACAGTCACGTCGTCTGATTAATTCAGTCTGTGCCCCGTCAGCCAAACAGATCACTTGCCACACTGAAGTTCGAATATCTGAACCGTTAACGCACTGCTAGACGAAGACTAGTTAAATGTTATCAGAGTCTGCTCGAAATCACTTCCAGATGGTCTTTTTAATGTGCACACCTAGTAGCAACAGAAGAATGAAGCTGAACAGTTAGTGATAATCAGGTACGTAGTTTGTTTGATTTATTGAGCATTTATCCGTGAACGGAAGGGATTCGGGACGTTCTGGTACGGAAAGTAACTGACAGTCACTATTTTATCGCACTGGGGCATTGTCGATCTCAGTATGACGACCGTATCATTAAGTTCAATGGCAATTGTCTGTCAAGACGACTCTTATAGTCATCTTGTTTGCTGCTTGACTCAGAGGCTCGAAAACCATGCTGCATGTTTCCCTTCAGAGATCAGGAAAGCGTCAAATTAGGAAAGGCGTAGAAACCTAACAAACGTACTATACTAATGTCTAGAGAATCGAACTCTTGCCGATTTATCTCCACTTTCGACGGACATTCCGATCATAAGAGCACTATGCCGAATGCGGCAACGGCAACTTGTGCACTCAGTCGGAAAACACCCCAAATGCTGAGTAACCGTATCACACTTGCATTCCCAGTAGGTCACTTTTTATCCAGGGTCTCCTTAATTATTACCAAGTGTCCATTTCTATTAGACTGGCCCTAATTATGTGACCAGTCCTGTAGTCTCCGCTCCGACCGACCAGCCTCGACCAGAAAAACAGGGCGGCCTCCCTTTCGCAAGGCCGCCTGTAGTTCAAATCTCGTACAATAGATGGAGCGTTAAATACAGCAGCTTAGAAATAAATGACTGGACAGTCATTATTCCCATTGCTTATCAGCCTTCTCTCTTGTGTCCTGTCTAGTGTATGTCCACCCAGACTGGTCGAGGGCCATGGTCTTTTCTGCTTACCATAAACACTAACCTACTCTCATTTGTAACTAATAAAACGTTTTTCAAACAATCCGCATCAACCTCGCTCTCTACCACCTAGGTGTGTCTGGCCGCCCAGACACACTGCGTTGCGTTAAACTTAAACGGAAAGTCGAACATCTTGGTCGTACATATTATACTGAATCCATTACACAGCTCAGCCGCAGTAACTGATATCGCATTATCCAGCTATTTCATCTGCCAGCAGCACCAGAGAGAAGAGTGAGGCGGGATTGCGGCTGATCGAATGCATACCTCCTGGCCTCAAGCGCATCCAAAAAAATTTTGGAATACAACACACCGAGTCTTATTTTGGATGGCTAACATCCGAGGCAGTTTTTCGTTTGCCTTTCTAATTGAGACTCATACGTTATGCACTATTGTTGATGTAGCATTTGTGCTAGCTCACATGTATCTGAGAAGTTCAATTCTTATGTGCGTAAGTACTTGCCCCATCCATTTCCCGTCTTCCCAATTTTGGTACATAGTGGGTATGCTGGGAGTCAGCCAGATGTTGCATTCCTCTATCTCACGAATCCCATCCATGCAGCATTCCACTGTATCTCCATAAAACATTAGTTACCCAAATGGCAGACTATGGACCGGCTGCTAAGTGGATATCGATTTTAAGGCATTGCTTACTTGAACCCCGAGGCGTTGTGCTCATTTTGGATGCTGTGGTTAGCTGTTAAAGCTAGGTCGACTGAGGGTATTTTGATAGCGTTTAGAAGTTGTGTAGCTGTCTAAATACCAACAGTTACTGTGCATCCATAATAGGAGCTCATTTAGGTACCAAAATGATGTTACTTTGAATCTTCTCGAACCCTTTTGTCGTTGGGCTACGTCTGTGAAAGCCTTCATAAAATGACGTCATTTGGCCTGTCGCTACTTAATTGTCATTCACTTTAACATGAGCAAGTGGTTATCTGTTGTGTTTATTATGTTTTCTGGGTTTATCTTCCATACTCCTGACATGCCCTCTTTACGCCATGTTTTTGTTAACTTTGTTTAGGTACGACAACCTTGCGGAGCTCTTTGCCGTCATCACTACTCTACAAAACCTACAGAAGGCTTACATAAAAGACAGCGTAGATGGGAAAAAGTAAAATTTCGTCAAAACTTACTTTCTCTTAGATACACGGTGGCATGCTCTAGGCTCTTGGGACAGTACCAGGCGGCCTTCAAGCAGGTCCAGGGAGAATTTCGCACAGTAGAGGAATTTATGAAAAAATACAAGGTGCTTCAACAGTTACAGCAGTTTTTTTTTCTTTCACCCTTTTATGATGATTTCGTTTTCTAGCCCC